TTTTATTTATTTATTTATTTTATTATTTTTTTTTTTAATTTTTTTTTTTTCAACGTTTATTTATTTTTGGGACAGAGAGAGACAGAGCCTGAACGGGGGAGGGGCAGAGAGAGAGAGGGAGACACAGAATCGGAAACAGGCTCCAGGCTCTGAGCCATCAGCCCAGAGCCTGACGCGGGGCTCGAACTCACGGACCGCGAGATCGTGACCTGGCTGAAGTCGGACGCTTAACCGACTGCGCCACCCAGGCGCCCCTCATACAATATTTTAGGAGAGATTAAATTCCAAACAGCTTACAGGGTTCAAGTACATTTTGCACAGACATATTAACTAAAATGCAGCCTATGATGTCACTATGGCCACATTTTCTACAGTTTTTCTTGCTGCCTAATTACTGCTATTTTTTAAAAATGTTTATTTATATTTGAGAGACAGAGCATGAGCGGGGGAGGGGCAGAGAGAGAGGGAGACACAGAATCTGAAGCAGGCTCCAGGCTCTGAGCTGTCAGCACAGAGCCCGACGTGGGGCTCAAACCTATGAATTGGCCTAAGCCAACGTCAAATGCTTAACCGACTGAGCCACCCTGGCGCCCCTAGTCACTGATATTCTTAAATTTTCTTTGCACATTTGTATGAATTTTAAGAAACCCATAGCTGGTGAGCAGTGTGTTTTCAAATACGGTGTATTTCGGGGTTCCTGAATGGCTCAGTCGGTTAAGCGTCCAGCTTCGGCTCAAGTCATGATCTCATGGTTCGTGAGTTCAAGCCCTGCGTCGGGAGCGTGCTTCGGATTCTGTGTCTCCCTCTCTCTCTCTGCCCCTCCCCACTCACACTCTGTCTCTCTGTCTCTCAAAAATAAACAAACATTGGCAAAATAAAAAAAAACTAAAAGTAAAATATGTTGTATTTCTTGGAATTTATCACGCTAATGTGAAGAGTTCTGTAGGCAGTATGGTGTTGTGGTTAAGAGCACAGGTTTGGAGCCAGGCCATCTTGGATTTTGATCTAAACTCTGCCATGTGTCAGCTGTGTGACCTTAGATATGTCACTTACATACCTGAACCTGGGTTTTCTCACCTGTAATGTTCTAGTAATAGCGGCACACACACACAACGGGCTTGTTTGGAGCCTTTGATCACAAAGCAATTAGCACAGAGCCCGGTGCATGACAAGCAGTTGATATTAACTGTTATTATTATTGGTTAGTGTTATGATTATTTCTCTCCCCTTGTGGATTATTTGTAGGGTGACTGAATGAAACTTTAGAAAAAAATATCTTGGGACACCCGGGTGGCTCAGTGGGTTAAGTGGCTGACTTTGGCTCAAGTCATGATCTCCTAGTTCGTAAGTTCGAGCACCACTTCGGATCCTCTGTCCCCCCCAACCTCTCTCTGCCCCTCTCCTGTTCGCTCTCTCCCTCTCAAAAATAAACTTTAATTTTTTTTAATGTTTATTTGTTTTCAACAGAGAGGGACAGAAAGCGAGTAGGGGACAGAGACAGAGAGGGAAGCACAGAATCCAAAGCAGACTCAAGGCTCTGAGCTGTCAGCACAGAGCCCTACGCGGCTCAAAACCCATGAGATCATGACCTTAGCTGAGGTCGGTCGCTTAACCCACTGAGCCACCCAGGTGCCCCTCAAAAATAAACTTAAAAAAAAAGAAAAGAAAAGGGAAAAAAGAAAAAATATCTTAAAGATGTGAACATCACCAAGGAGGAAAAACATTCACGCCTTCAGAGCAGTGGTTCTCCAAGTGGGATCCCCAGATCAGCCCCAGTAGCCTCACCTGGGAACATGTTAGATGTGCAGATGTTGGGGTCTATTCCAGACCTACGTGCTCAGAAACTCTGGGCTCTGGCAAAGTGGCCAGATGATTCTGATGTGCAAACATCAGCACTACAACTCCTTAGCGCTAAACGGTGCTGAAGCCTTGGCCAGCATCGGAGTCATCTGGGGAGTTTAAAAAACTGCTGATGCCTAGCTCCCACCCCTGGAAATTCCTACTTGATAAGTCTAGGTGGGGTCCCAGCACTGGTACTTTTGAAAAGCTCCCAGGCTGGGTTTATTACATGATCAAGCTTGAGGGCACTGCCCAGGCCACGTGCTCTACAGTTAAATCAGTGTTTCTGGAGTGGGACCCCAGCATCAGCAGATTCATGTATAGTTCCCTGGAAAATTGCAACCAACACGCACTCAAGGTTGAAAGTTGCTGCTGTGGTGCCCCTGGCGACCTTGAAATTCTGTCTGAGTCATGGACTATACGGAAGCCCGCGTGGCCGAAATGTACAACGAACGGATTAGAGACGCGTTCAGTTGAGCACAGGAACCCACGGTAGCTCTCCCACTGCTAAGTGTGGCTGCCATTTTGTAAAAAGTTGCCCAAAGATTAGAAATCCAGGGGATTTCCCAAACTGTTGCTGCCCCAATCAACTTTCTCCATTCCATACTTTTTTTTGCTTCCTCTGAGATGCCATTCATTCAGTCAGCCAGTCATTAGTTTATTTAACAGAATGCTCTGGAAATTCTTCACGCAGCCCACAGTGAACAGCAGTCCCGCCTTCACAGAGCCTATATTGGGTGGTTGAACATTCTTCGGTTCTTCAGTGTAGAGACCGAAGCCTGACTAACTTGAGAACACGGAAGGAGCTTGTGTGTAAGATTTGAGTCCGTCACACAAGTGGGGGTTCCCATTTCAGGTGAACCGGGGCCACCTGCAGACGTGGATTCCTGTCCCCGAATCCCCGGGCTTCCTGGGGTGCCAGGCCCAAGAGGACCAGAAGGAGGCATGGGGCCCCCCGGAATGAGAGGCCCCCCAGGAGCAGGTACGAGCCTCACGCTGACTCTTCATTATCTGCGTCCTGTGCTGCTGGAATGAGAATCTAAGTGTCTTGCTGTGTAGTTTTTAGCATGCAGCCTGAACAATTTGTGAGGAGGTAGCAAGGCAGTCCCCTTCCTCTTACGCATTTCTCTACATTTATCCGAAGCTTTGATCGTGTCCTAACTGGAGTGACACATGCCTCCTATTTTTCTGCTGAACTCCTACTTGAATCTTTCATGTTGCATACTTCGGCAGCTTTGGGGCACAAGGTTTTGAAGCTTCTTACACAACTGAGTAGATGCTCTAATCGTCATTACTAGCTATTGACTTGATTTTGCATTACAAACACTTGAACTGGGGCTCAGTGGAAAGGAGGGAAGGAAAGGTACCGCTTCGGAGGAGGGGGAGGGGAAAGGGAAAGGGTCGCTCTAAATTATGGCCATGACTGGAGTGTTCATTTAATTAATGTGACCATCGCTCAGTCATTCTCAGGGTAGTAGGATCCTTATGTAAGTACTTAAAGCAAATCATCCATTTAAAAAGTATCCTCCAAATGTGTTACTTTCTCTTCCCAGATCCCTACCACACTGGTAATTTATAAAGAGATTAGGGAGTCCGGGATGGTCCTCTAGTGGTCACCGATCTCTTCAGACCAATCGGCAGTGCCCATGATTCTAGACCGCCTGTGTGCAAATTACCCTAGGAGACACGAGGCCATTTTCTTTTCTGTTTCCACACCTGTTCTCCCAGGTGTGGCTTTGGCTCTCTCGGGTTCAGGTCCAAAGGAATTGGAAGTAGAACTTGAATTTTGCACCACCTGGTGTGTGTGTGTGTGTGTGTGTGTGTGTGTGTGTCCCCAAAGCCAAACAGCTAAGGGCTGGAGTCTGAATAGTTCTTGGGTAGTGTCCGGAACAGCCCTGGAGCCTCCCTCATGTTAGTATGGGGGTTTTCATGTTTGTATTTGCTGCATTGCATCTATGCAATTGCGTGTTAATTGCGCGTCCATTGGAGCAACTTCCGTTAACAGCGCACGAGCACTAGGAAGTGAGCGTAGTCCTTAGGCACTCACTACATGGGTAGAGCTTGCAGTCAGTCAGAACAACTCATCAGTCAACCTACTTTTAAAACCAACCGCCTTGTTGTATATGTTGTTGTGCAATATTGATGGCTGGGATACTTCTCCCCCCGCCCACCACACACACACCCCTTTAAAAAAAATCAGCTCTCCAGTAGAAGATATGGCCGGTAATGGAGTTCTGCAAATATATTTCAGGAAACACTTCCGGATCCCCCACACTGTTTAGAAAGTGTGGTCCTGGGTATCGTGGGCAGTACGGATGTAGGTATGATGCGTTTTTCTCCCACCAGTGCCTCACAATCTCAAGGCAGGACTAGTTGGCAGAACAGGAGTAACTCTTAAATAATGGGAGATGATCATTTGTGCTCTGAAGGAGATTCTGGCAAAGGCGTGAAGACAATGGGACAGGGAGAGGTGAACTTTATCGTGGAAGCCTGCAGGGCTGCTGAGACTCAGGCAAGGGCTGGCCTGTGAGCAGAGCCTTTACGGAAAGATTGGGCTTTGAGGAACCAGAATTGTCCAGCAGGGAGATGACAGGGGCACAGCGGGGGTTGGTTTACCTTGAGAGCCTGGTGACTAAGTCAGCCACATCCTTGCTGCTCTAAGTGTGGTCCGAGGACCAGTAGCCACTCAGGCATAGACCTATCAAGTTAGAATCTGCATGTTAACAAGATCCCCAGAATATCTGTGGATCCCTTCAAGTTTGAACAACCCTAACAATGTTAGATGAGTGCTGTCCTTAAAAGAGTCAGTTAAGAGTCACACAATCCCTAGTGACTCAATCCTAGCTGTAGATCAAAGTCATCTGGAGGGGCAGGAAACAACCGTGAGGCCTGGGCCCCCTCCCAAGACCAAGGGAATGCAGAGGGAGGCAGGGCCCAAGTACCAGTGTTTGGAAAAAGCTCCCACGATGACTCTAGCGGACAGCCAGGGTTGAGACCCAGTGCCTTACCCCAACACCAGTGGAGACAGGTTGGGTGGCTGGGCTCACCCATTGTGGTAGCTTGGGCAAAGAACCGAAGAAAGTTACTGAGAAGAAAAAATCAAATGGGCAAATAGTAATCTTGGGCACATACAAGATTCTGTCTCCATAGACTGTGAGCTTCTGAAAGAAGGCCGACAGTCTACATGGGCCCAGGTGTGATCACCTGTCATCTCTCGTTCTGGCTGACTTGGGGTCAGATGGGCTCATCGGGTTGCAGGTGGCCTCAGAAGGGTCTACTCTGGCTTTCTGTGCCCTCTCCTTATTGATGTCACTGACCCTGCTAGCTGGCAGTGGGGACACCTGAGGCCACCGTTGTATCACAAAATGTGACTGTTATGTTAAAAAAAAAAAATGCCCAGCCCTTCCCACAAAGCACTTCCTGTTCTCCATGGTTTCAGAGCGGGGCTGTGCTGCTCCATGGCTCAGCTTCCCTGGAGCTCCTTTCTACCCTCCTGTGTCCCCACTCTCAAGCCAGTGTCCCCTTCTGGGTCCCTCTTCTCTGACATGGGCCTCCAGATCCTGTTGTAAAGGACCCCTCTTTGCCTACCTTGTAGTCTTTGCCCCCTAGCTCTCCCTGCTGGCCACCTGGATACATGGCTACACTGTCCCGTTACTAAAACATGACAAGTCTCTTCTGAGGGTCTAAAGCACCCTAACCCTGTCTGACTTGGGTCATGTGCAGGACATGTTGATCATCGCCTGTCTATTTTCTGAAGGCATTTCTCTTAGCACGGTGTTGGGGGCTGTCTACACCACCACCTCTCTACTTTCTGAAGGCATTTCTTTTAGCACAGTGTTGGGGGCTGTCTACGCCACCCCCAGGGTTGGTTGTGAAGGCTCAGCTGAGACCAGGAAGCGCCATGTCCACTTAAAATGGCATCGTTGGTTTCCTCTTGTTTTTCCTTCCAAACCTCTTCATTGCTGAGCTGGGTCTGTAACCAGGTGCCACAGCCAAGATCTATACAGAAGCAAACAAAGTTCTGGCTCTTTCCTGCCCAGTATGAGTAGGTAACAGCCACACTAAATATAATTAATGTCTGCTAAGAGTCCTCCACCATGGAAGGCCTAATGTTTTTCTGCTCACATGTCTCTTTGATCTACAACTTTTCCTTCCCGGTGGAGGGGGGATGAGGAGAGGCTCAAAGGCTGGAGCTTCCTGGGATGAACACAGAGGTGGTTTCCATATCGGTTTGAACTCTTACTGCCTAATGGACACATCCCCACATCCTGTTAGAGTGTGTTTAATCTTCAAGTCAACATGTGATGTGCTCAGAGGAGGTAATCCATCAAATACTGGAGAGCTTTTAGATGTACCTCTTGTTCTTAAAACAAGTTCCAAGTAGAGAGCAAGTCCACACGGTGAAAGCTCTGGGCACTCAGCTCGGGTGAACACAAGCTTTCCTCCCCATCTCTGGAAAATTGCCTGATGATTTCTCCAAAGGGAGCAAAGAGCCTATATCATAACATCTGGTGGGGGGGACTCCTGTCCCCAAATCGACAGTGATCTCGCCGCATGTCCCTATTTCGGGAAGACACCTGCTGCCTTTTCAGTGATCAGCCCGTTTGCTGGCTTGTCAGCACCCGGGCAGCCCTTTCCAGCATACAGCGCAGTGGCCACACGTTGCGATCCTCTCCTCGGGTGGGAAAGATGAAGGAAAGCTCTGAGCTCACCATCAGGGCCCTGTGTTCCTTCCAAAGTAGCTGATGTTCTCTTTGAAGCGGGTGGAAAGGGATGTGCCAGCCAGCATGCAGCAGCCCCAGGCATAGAGAGGTTTCTGCCCCATTACTGGAAAGGAGAGGGCATCTCTCACCCAGATGGCGAGAGGGAGAGGGAGGGGCTTCCTTTTTCGCTTATGGAAAGACGACCACGTACCGCACGCAGTCCAGGAACCGTGTGACCAGCCAGGAGAATTTGTTTAATACCCGAGGAAGCAGAAAGTGAAATGCTAGTACCCCGGAGGCCAGGAATGCCGGGGGGGGGGGGGGGGGGGGGGGGGGGGGGGGGGGGGGGTACCCATAGGAGCTCTGCCACCATGGAGTGTGGGGGAGGGGCTGGCTGGCTGCAGGGACAGAAGGAGGACGTTTGTACGGGACATTCTGAGGCAGGCAAGGTCAGAACAGAGTTTCAAAGGCAGTGAGGTCTGGAAGGGTATGCGTCTCAGTGCTAAGAGGGGGGCCTGTGTGAGACAGGAAATTGAGTGGGACATCCCCCTGTTCACCCCAGTACGGCAGTCCCCTGCTCTCAACCCTCAGGTGGCTTCCCCACTCCCTTGAAGAACAAGTCCTAGAGTGAAAAAAGAACGAAAGCTGCTTAAGTGAGCTCTCTCTGACTTAATGGTTGGTTTTAGGCTAATGTGTGGCAGAGAGAGTGAGAAAGGGAGAGAGGGAGAGAAAAGCATAGGTAGAGACCAGAACCCTTGGGAGGGCTGGTGATTCAGGGAATTCAGGATAATGGCAATAAACTCCTCCACAGGCAAGGACCATATTTGCTACCCACGAAAGGAGATTGTGGCTCATGAATTGATGCCTTGGCCAAAAGTAATGGCTTAAAAGAACGCCTCAAGTATCAGTGTAAATGCAGCCACGTCCTCCAGGGGGCGCAGCTGAGCCCCACAGCTGGTCGTGGGGGGCGGGGGGCGCTGACGGCTGTGCCTTGGCCCTCATTCAGCCTGCCTGTCTGAGTGAGGTTCCCCACCCCATATGATCAGCTGTGTCACCTTCCTGAGCCTCAGCCTCCCCACTGGGAGGCTGGTATATGAGATCTCACCTGGTCCTATGGCTGGTGAGAAGAGCGAATTGGTTAACCCACGTCAAGGGTGGTATCTTGCACCTTGTAAACCCTCAATTATTAATTTAAATAACTGCTGCTTTTATCTTGCTCCAAATTTAACTTGGCTCTCAGTTGAATCCTATTAAATTTTATTTATTCCATTTTTTATATTAAATATAATTTATTGTCCAATTGGTTTCCATACCATACCCAGTGCTCATCCCAACAGGTGCCCTCCTCAGTGCCCTTCACCCACTTTCCCCTCTCCCCCACCCTCCCATCAACCCTCAGTTCTCAGTATTTCCTCTCAGCTTTCTTAAAAAAATCGTTATTAAGGATGATATTTAATTATGAAAGTCATATATGTTCAGTGTAAAAAAAAAAAAAGTCAAATATACAAGAATATGAAGACACATGAAGACCTCTCTCTCAACATCTCTGATCTGGGTTCCAATCCCAGCTCTACTGGCTTATTATGTAAGTTGCTTGACCTTTGAGAGCCTCATTTACCCCGCTGACAAGTGGAGGTAACACTTCCCACCTTCATGTATCTGAGAAGACAGAATGAGCTAATGCAGAACCGTCCAAATGGGGAGCCCGGGGCCAGCACCTGGCCACCAGGCATCACACTGTTTTCACCACGGCCATCGTGAACTCTTGCGCAGGGTGCAAAGGAGAGTCGGGGCCGGATGGCAGGAGGGGCGAGGATGGCCTCCCAGGGTCTCCTGGGCCTCCTGGAAGCAAAGGGGACACGGGAGAAGCGGGCTGTCCCGGAGCACCAGGTAAACATTTTCAGCTTCTCTTCTTTCCTTTGACCCCGTAGACCTGAGGACTCTTGGCACAAGATCCGTGGCTTCTCACGCGGCTTTCCAAACTGCTCTTATTAAAAGCATTTGCCTTAGATGTGGACTCACCAGGTATTGGGAGAGGCAGAAGCAGCAAGAGCAGAACAAGGATGTATCCCCCACTGAGGGTCTAACTGATCCTCAGCCATCGTAAAGATGAGGCAAGGCGCTATCCCCCGTTTGGCATCTTCCCGAACCGCTGTACATGATCATAAAATAATACTCAGCTCTTCTAGCTGGTTGCTTTGCCAAGGCAAGCCTGGCATTGCATGTCAACACCACTGAGAGGCCGTGCTGCAGATGGGGGTGTTCTCACCCTCCACGACTGGCTGGATCACTTGGCCTCTGTTTTCTGAGTTCACTTCCTCTTACTGTACAAGTGTCGAAACGTTTATATAGACTAAGAGGCTCTTAAGACAAAAAATTGGGGAGTAGGCGTTGAGTGAGGGGAGAGAGAAGACATTACAGAATAGCCATTTGAAATATAACGTGCCAGACGATAGGTTGGGCACTGGGGACCCAAAGACTCCCAGGTAAGTCTCATCTTCGAGGGGATCTACCAGGTCGGTAATGAGAAGGGGTGAAGGGGGCCAGTGAAGTCTGTAACGAAATGGAGCCTGCAGTCAGCTTCAGCCAATTGCTGCAGGTGGGGGAGAGGGCTCAGCGGTGCCCACGCTGTGCTCTCCAAGTCCAAGGTCCCCATCCGGACAGTCTTGACAGGTCAAACGCAACACGTGGGCAGGCCTAATTCGGTCCACAAGTCCTCTGGTTTCCAGGATGAATGAGGAGAGCCCGCCAGTCTTCCAGAAAGAGTTTTTAAAAAAATAAACAGCGTTTAATTTCACCTTTGCTCTTGGCAATTAGAAGTAGCCATTGGCCTCCTTCAGTGGGTCGGCCCCTTAGAGATGCCAAAGGAGACAGACCCTGCTTCCCGTCTGCCAGCAAGAATGCCACCACCAGGACTGCCTTCCTCCGCCCTCCCTCATAAAAGAAGGTCCAGGTTGTGCATGTGGGTTCCAACCCCTTGCCTTTCCTCCATATGCCAGAGCCATGAGAGGGTCCGGGAGGTGTAAGGAAGGCCAGCTTTGAGAATTACCTTTTCCGATGAGCAGGCTCCTAATTCAGTCTGAGAAGGTCACACGTATCTAGTTCTAGGCTCCTAGTTCAGTCTGGGAGGTCACACGGGGGGAGACGCCACCCCATCTTTGTCTTCTCAGCATTTCACCTTTCACTGTTTGTCATTTCTCTTGTTCAAGTAGAATGTAAGCTCTGGGAGGGCAGGGATTTTTGTCTGCTTGCTGTTTTTCTGCTAACTTGGTCCGACCACCTGGAAGATGCTTGGGATAAATACTTGCTGACTGGGTCGTTTTGTATATATTGGGGTTGTGTCGGGCACCTTCCTGGGCATGGGCCACGGCAGGCTTCTTCCCTAAACTGCCTTCATTTTTTCTTTATTCCTCCAGGCCCTCCTGGGCCCATTGGGGATCCCGGGCCCAAAGGGTTTGGGCCTGGATACCTCAGTGGCTTCCTCCTGGTTCTCCACAGTCAGACAGATGGAGAACCCACCTGCCCAGCGGGCATGCCCAGGCTGTGGACGGGCTACAGTCTGTTGTACCTGGAAGGACAGGAGAAGGCTCACAACCAAGACCTGGGTATGTGTGTAGCACATGGTCACCCACATCCATCGCTTAGGGGGACAACTTTTGGGGCAATTTTACAGATTCATCAACATCCTAAGTGATGGCTCATCTCCCGTGGGATTTTTTTCTTTTTAAACTACCATGCTAGGGGCGCCTGGGTGGCGCAGTCGGTTAAGCGTCCGACTTCAGCCAGGTCACGATCTTGCGGTCCGTGAGTTCGAGCCCCGCGTCGGGCTCTGGGCTGATGGCTCAGAGCGTGGAGCCTGTTTCCGATTCTGTGTCTCCCTCTCTCTCTGCCCCTCCCCCATTCATGCTCTGTCTCTCTCTGTCCCAAAAATAAATAAACG